TGTGCCAGCTGGGGCTCTGAGGAGGCTGCGGGGTACCTGGGGAGGCTGCTGAGGCTGGGGCTGCGGCGGGCGGATCTTCGACAGGAGCAGGAATAAGTTGCCCCGGGATGGGCGGCTTGCCGGCGCCGTCACCTGCTGGGCCAGTCTCCTGCTGAGGCTGCTGCTGCTGCTGCGGCAGCTGCCGCTGCGGCGGCCGGTGCTGGCGCGCCGTCTCGAGAAGTTTTTTTCCAGGGCCTGAAGCTGCTCCTGGATCTGGGGAGGAACTCCTGCAACTGGACCGTTCTGGAACTCCCATGAATCTCGAGAGTTGCGGGGAGAGGGGCGAGGACGGGGGGGGCGCCTGCTGCGGAGCCACTGCGCGAAGTGCGGGTGCCAGCTGGCCCTCCAGCTGCTCGAGCTCGGCGTTGGCGGTGGCCTTGTCTGCCTCCGCCGCCTCGACCTTGCTGGCCAAGACGGTGGTCTCCTCGATGTAGTGCTCGACCTGCTCGGTGTATTTCTGAACCTTGCCTTCGGCGGCGGACACCTGATGATCGCGGAGAGACTGACACTGTTGCTCCAAGGGCTTGCCTTGGAGAGCCGATGATTTCGCCTGCTTGAGAGAAACAACGGCTTTGGCATAATTCTCTCCCCCCGTGCCTTCACGAACCCCCCAAAAGCTGACGAGATCCTGATGCACAGCGACGGGGTCCTCTGCTGCGGCCTGCTCTGGGGAGGCGGTGTGAATGAACTCTTCCTGGTCACTGACTTTGAAACTCGACCAGCGGTTGCCTCGACCTCCATCTGATCCTGAGCGCTCCCCAGCAGACTTACCACCTCCCCCAGACTGCTGCTTCGCGGGCCCTTGAGGAGGACCTGACTTAGGCTGACCTGGCTTGGGGAAGGTGGTGCCACACTGGGAGCAGAACTTGTTGTTGCGGTCCATGTAGGACCATCCTTTGCATCCCTGACGCGAGCAGCAGACATTTTGACGGTAGCTCTTTGGTGGAGCCATGGCCTGAAAGTTGTGCCTAGGCTGCACGAGGCGAGGACAATGGCACCGGACGCCGCGGCCCGCCCGAGAGACTGAATGGTTGGATTGCTGAAACTGGCAGCGATGCCTGCCAGACTCGAGCGAGGTTGGGAAGTTCAGGAGCAGGCCCCTTGAGCCAAAATGGCTACTGTACAGGAGAGGAGGAGGAGGAGGAGGAGGAGGAGGAGGAGGAGGAGGAGGAGGAGGAGGAGGAGGACGAGGACGAGGAGCAGGAGGAGGAGGAGAAGGAGGAGGAGGAGGAGGAGGAGGGAGAGGGAGGTGGGAGGAGGAGGAGGAGGAGGAGGACGAGGACGAGGACGAGGAGGACGAGTAGGAGGACGGGGAAGAGGAGGAGGGCAACTCGGAGGTGGAGGAGAGTGTGGAGGAGGAAACGATAGCACAATATGAATCATGATGTATCGATTTCGCTACCTTTGCCTCGCTTCCCTTTCGCCTTTGCGGGGCCTCCTGCGGGGGTGTCCGCGTCCCCACGGCTGGATTCGGCTCGAAATCCTGGCCTGGACACGCACGGGGAGAGGTCCGGGAAGTGGTAGGGCTCGAGGGGCGAAAGGCGGAGCTCCGCGCTGAGTTCTTGGATCGGCGCTGCCTCCCCCCCCCCCCCCTCCTCCTCCTCCTCCTCCTCCTCCTCCTCCTCCTCCTCCTCCTCCTCCTCCTCCTCCTCCTCCTCCTCCTCCTCCTCCTCCTCCTCCTCCTCCTCCCTCCTCCTCCTCCTCCTCCTCCTCCTCCTCCTCCCTCCTCCTCCCTCCTCCCTCCTCCCTCCTCCTCTCCCTCCTCCCTCCTCCCTCCCTCCTCCTCTCCTCCCTCCTTCCCTCCTCCCTCCTCCTCCTCCCTCCTCCCTCCTCCTCCTCCCTCCTCCCTCCTCCCCCTCCTCCCTCCTCCCTCCTCCCTCCTCCCTCCTCCCTCCTCCTCCTCCCTCCTCCTCCTCCTCCTCCCTCCTCCTCCTCCTCCTCCTCCTCCTCCTCCTCCTCCTCCTCCTCCTCCTCCTCCTCCTCCTCCTCCTCGGCGCTGCCTCCCCCCCCCCTGGCTGCGCCTGCGCGCTGCCCCTGGCGCGCCCCGCGCGCCTGGGAGGGGGGGGCACTGCCGAACCCAAGGCGTCCGCACGGAGCTTGGAAAGGTTATGGTTTACGATGTTGCTATCCTTGTGCTCGTTCTGGTTGTCATGTATGCTTACATTATAAGTATCATCTTCTTCGGGTCGCTTGTGCTGCTCGGTATTACTGAAGATCACTTGTCGTAAGTGCATCGACCCTTTTGAATTCATAGCACGGCTTCTACGTGTGGTGAGCTTAGTTAAAACTATTTAACATCCTCGCTGTTATTACCGTTAACTGTGTTATTACGAGTCATGCGACGATTAGTAGTACTAGTATTGCTGTCGTTCATATTCGTGCTATCACTACTACTATATGTGTGTACGTCTGCTATTCTTACTATCGAAGACGCCTACGGCCAATTCCGCCGCCCCGTGCCTTTTTGGAAGCATCAGTGCAGCCGAAAGTTGGGCTAGAGCTTGGCTAAGCTATCGGACCACGTGTTCCCCCAGCAGTCGTTGAAAGGGAACACGTGAGGAAGAAGAGAACGAAGAGAAGAAGGAACAGGCAGGACGAGGAGTAGGAGGAGGAGGAAATAAACAAGGAGGAGTAGGCCTCTTGGCAGCCTCTTGGGGCACTCTTGGGGTCTCCTGGGAGTTTCCTGGGAGCCTCGAGGAGACCTCGTGGGGGTCTCCTTCGGTCTCTTGGGGGCCTTGGGGGGCTTGTTCGGGGCCTCTTTGGCAGTATTGGGGCGTTCCTGGGCCGTCGGGAGCCGTGTTGGGGGCCTCTCTGGACCGTCTTTGGGCCCTCTTGGGGTGCTTCAGGGCCGCCTTGGAGACCATCTTGGCCGTCATGGAAGCCTATTGGGCCTTCTTGGGCCCCCCTCTGGGCCGTCTTGGGGGCTTCTTGGGCCGTCCTGGGGCCATATTGGAGGCCTGGGGGGACGATCTGGGGGGCCGCTGGGGCCGTCTTGGGCCGTCGGAAGGCCGAAAACAAGCCAATGCCAAAATCCTTCAAAACCAAAAGGAAAATCAATGATTTGGGCCTCCTCGGGCCCTCCTGGAGGACCTCTTGGAGGCCTCTTGGGCCGTCTTTGAGGCTTCTTCGGCAGACTTGGAGTCTTGGGCCCTTTCGGGTCGTCCTGGAGGCCATCTCGGAGGCGATTTGGGCAGCCGCCAGGGCATCGCCCGAAGCTTCCCGCGCGGCCTGCGCAAAGAGCCGAAAGTGCGTCTGGAAAAAGAAGCAAAACCAAACCATATAGGATTCAGCACGCCAGGCACCCCTGTGATAGGTGTGTGTGTGTGTTTGTGTATGTGTGTTTGTGTGTGTGTGTGCGTGTGTGCGTGTGTGCGTGTGTGCGTGTGTGCGTGTGTGCGTGTGTGCGTGTGTGCATGTGTGCGTGTGTGCGTGTGTGCGTGTGTGCGTGCGTGCGTGTGTGCGTGCGTGCGTGCGTGCGTGCGTGCGTGCGTGCGTGCGTGTGTGTGTGTGTGTGTGTGTGTGTGCGAAGTCCGCTCATATCATTATTATATCGTCATATACCGCTAACGTATCGGCTCAGGTATTGGCATGAACAACGTACCGCGCTGCTCTCCGCGCAGCGCCCAGGAAAAGGAGCAGCCAGCCTCTTCCTCCTTTGCCTCTACCTACGACACCCGTATAGGATCGACCCCTCGGTCGTATCCCTGTACGCACAACAAGCCCACCGTGCCTGGTTTGTGGGTCAGAGTCCGCAGGGCCTCAGGGATGCTTCTTGGGGTCTTTCCGGAGCGCCCTCGGAGGCCTCCGGGGGGCATCGGTGGAGCCTCTGGAGGGCCTCCTGGGCTTCCTGGGGCCCTCTCGAGGGTTTCTTGGGGCCTCCTGCAGGCCGCTTGCGAGCCTCTTGGGGCCTCTTTAGGCCCCAAGAAGCCCCCCCGCCCACCCCCCAAAATCCTCTCGGGCCCGAGGGCTCGAGATGACCGTTCGGGTCCGCCGGCCGGGCCCGCTCTTGGAGCCGTCCTCGGGGCCCTTTCGGCCGTCTTGGAGGCCTCTCGGGCAGTATCGGGGCCCTCTTGAGCCGTTGTGGGGCCATCTTGGAGGCCTCTTTCGGTCGTCTTGGCGCGATCTTGGTGGCCTCGTTGGCCGTCCTGGAGCGTCGGGAAGCCGACAAGGCGAGAGCCCCAAAATCATTCAGAACCCTTGCTGGAGAATCAATGATGTTTGCCTCTTGGTGCCCTCTTGGCATTGTTCTTGGAGGCTTCTTGAGGCGTCGTCGAGGCTTCTTGGGCCGTCTGGAGGCCATCTTGAGCGTCTTGGATCGATCTTTCGGTGCTTATGTGCCTTCTGGACCGTCTGGGCGGCCTCGGGGGAGGAGGAGGAGGAGGAGGAGGAGGAGGAGGAGGAGGAGGAGGAGGAGGAGGAGGAGGAGGAGGCGGAGGAGGAGGAGGAGGAGGAGGGGAGGAGGGCTTCCTTGGCCCTGGCCCGTTTTGGGGCGCTCTCGAGCGAGGGCACCGTCCCGGAGGTCCACGCAACACACCCTTGCTGCCGTTCTTCTTCTGTCCCGTCACGCTGCCATTAAGTCGGGCCTGTCCCTCTACAGGGGGAAATTTCAAAAATAGTGCAACAAATCGTCTGGGGACAATTTTTGACTATTCTTGAGCATTTTTGGACTATGTGTTGGGTATGTTTAATTTTTCGTCCAAAATCGGCCTGTAGGGGGACATGCCTTACCTGACGCTGCCATCATACGGTGAGGGCGTTGGTTAAGGCACGTGCACGGGAGGCTCCAGACCCTGGAGGGTTCCTCCTCCTCCTCCTCCTCCTCCTCCTCCTCCTCCTCCTCCTCCTCCTCCCCGGCCTCGATTGGAGCTCCGCCGGCCTCCGGACCCTGGATTCCTAACCTACGGGTTCCTTATCCAATGCCTCCGCCGCAGTTCGACGTGCTCGTATCGCCATCCTTCCAGGTGCACCTGTCCTCCGACGACGACGTCGACGACGCCGACGCGGACGTCTCCGAGGCCTGGGGGGATGGGCGCGGAAGGGCTCTGGCCGCCGCTGCGCGCAGGATCGGGCCGCTCGGTTGCCGATCTGCCCACCCCCCACCTCCCCCCGTCGCCGTGGTTGCAGGCGCCCCGCCCTCTGAAGGCTCGGGGTGGCGGGGCAGGGGAAGGGGGGGAGGAGGAGGAGGAGGAGGGGGAGGGGGAGGAGGAGGAGGAGGAGGAGGAGGAGGAGGAGGAGGAGGAGGAGGAAGAGATGGAGGAGAGAGAGCGAGGGAGGAGGAGGTGGAGGAGGACTCTGTTGGACTCTTTGTTGAGCACAGCGTGCTGACGAGGAGGGAAAGAGACAGAAGATGAGAGCGAAATACAGGCCCGAACCCGCGGAGAGATCCCGAAAAGTCGGCTCCCCCCAGCCCTCCCCCCCCCCCACGAGGAGGGTGGGGAGGGGTTGCCGAGGACGGCGGCGTGGTCTCAGACCGTCGCTCGGCCTCGGCACGCTCCGCGGCAGCGGGCACCACGCGCGTGCGTGGGCGATCTCCCGTCCCACAGCCTCTGTCCAAGGGGCCCTCACGCGGGCTGGCAGCCGCGGCGTGGGCCAGGGCGCGACGGGCCCTCCGCCACACTGACGAAGCAGCTCCTCCTACTCCTACTCCTCCTCCCCCTCCGCCTCCTCCTCCTCCTCCTCCTCCTCCTCCTCCTCCTCCTCCTCCTCCTCCTCCTCCTCCTCCTCCTCCTCCTCCCAGAAATCGGCCCTGGGCTCTGCGCCGACCAAGCACGGACTCCAGGCCCCGTGGGCCGCTTCGCTAGCTGCCGCGTCCGCCAGCCTGCTGCCGGCTGCTAACAACTTCCCATGGGCACATCCTCTTCCGCCTCCACTTCCTTGTCCTCCTCCTCCTCCTCCTTCCTCCTCCTGCCTCCTCCTCCCTCCTCCTCCTCCCTCCTCCTCCTCCTCCTCCTCCTCCTCCTCCTCCTCCTCCTCCTCTCCTCCTCCTCCTCCTCCTCCTCCTCCTCCTCCTCCTCCTCCTCCTCCTCCTCCTCCTCCTCCTCCTCCTCCTCCTCCTCCTCCTCCTCCTCCTCCTGCTCCTGCTCCTGCTCCTCCTCTTCCTGCCCTTCCTCCTCCTCCTCCTCCTCCTCCTCCTCCTCCTCCTCCCCTCCTCCTCCTCCTCCTCCTCCCCTCCTCCTCCTCCTCCTCCTCCTCCTCCTCCTCCTCCTCCTCTGGGAGTGTCTGGGGGGTCAGGTCAGTAGGGGCGCCCGCATTGGCGTCAGGAGGGCCGTCTTGGTCGCTCGTCGCCGTGGCTCTTGGTTCGCCCATTTTCGCGTCAACGAGCCCTTGATGCGCGACATTTCCGATCCAGACCTTCGTTGCACTGCGGGCCCAGCATGACTTCAATCTAGAACTCCAAATTCTGAGGTCGTATCCAAGGGTTCGATGGCAAACGGCAGCCTATTATCGGAGGTTGATAAACCTCCTACCCTGACACGTCGATTAGCGAGTTGGCCGTTTTCGGTTCGCGAGAGGGCGTCGCGGCCGCCATTTTTGCGGGTCCAGGTCCGTCGGTTTCGGTCTCAGGCCGTTTTCACTAAAGGGTGGTTTGCTAAAGGGAGGTTTGTCCACCGCCGATAATACGTCAGGGCAAATGTCTGGGCTGTCCTCGTGAGGGTGCGAGGCTGTCCACACAGCTCGGACCGAGTCCACTCCTTTGCCAGCGATGGAATCCCCTAGTGAACCTGGCGACCTATGAGTTTCCCATAATTCGGCTGGGAGAATTATAAGACATCCGTGAGTCCCCAAAATCCTTTAATTCGGCTGGGAGGATTCTGCGACACACATAGGTCGCCAGAATCCCCTAGGGAATCTGGCGACCTATGGGTTTCCCATCGTTCGTCTGGGAGACTTCTGGGAACGCCAGAATCCCCTAGGGACCATAATTCAGCTGGGAAAGTTATGGGAAACCCATAGGTCGCCTGAATCCCCGAAGGAATCTGGCGACTTTCGATGGGTTTCCCATAATTCAGTTGGAGTATGGGAAGCCCATAGGTCACCAGAACCCCCCAGGGAATCTGGTGACCTACGGGTTTCCCATACTGGCAGAATTAGTGGAAACCCATAGGTCGCTAGAATCACCGAAGGAATCTGGCGACTTTCTATGGGTTTCCCATAATTCCGTTGGGTTTCCCATAATTCGGCTGGAGAAAATTATGGGAAGCCCAGCAGAATCCCCCAGGGAATCTGGCGAATTTTCTATGGGTTTCCCATAATTCGGCGGGGGGAATTACGGGAAACCCAGAGGTCGCCGGAATCCCCTAGGGAATCTGGCGACCTATGGGTTTCCCATAATTCGGCTGGGAGAGGTATTGGAAACCCATAGGTCGCCGGAATCCCCTAGAGAATCTGGCGACCTATGGGTTTCCCATAATTCGGCCGGGGGAATGACTCGTAGAACTTCCCTAAGAGCGTTAGCGGCCAAGCTAGAAGAGTAATTCCGGCGCGCTGGGGGGTTAGTTGGCAAAAAATATCGACGGAAGTTTTGTTTTTTTTTGGCTTGTCTAGATTCGATTTCTCGGAATTTGAACGGTCGTTAGAGCTCTAGTATTTTTCCCCATCTTCGATCTTATTCCCGCTCGCCATCTTAATATCAGGTCGATCGGGTACCTACGACTGACAAAAAGCATCCAGGCGGGATCGGCTGTTCGGGTCATTTTGACAGGTGCTGTCGGCTTTCTGAACTTAACTCGAGCTGTAGGAGAGCTACAGAGGTGGCAGGCACATCTAAAGCATCTAGAATCATCAGGCGCGTTCGTCTCAAGTATCTAGATGTTTGAACTCGGTCCGCTACCAGAGCTCGGTCCGCGGAACTATTCGTATTCTGCTAGTTTTTCCGAGATGATGAGTTACTTCACTTATCTCGAGCTGCAGATGAGCTACAGAGCTGTTTGGCACAGCAATCGGACGACCATCATCAGACGCGCTAGTTTAAAGTATCTAGATGCCTGAAAGTGGTCTGCTACCAGAGCTGGATCCAACAACTACTGGTACCCTGCTATTTTTTTAGATGGCGATGGCTTTCTTGACTGAACTAGAGATTCAGAACAAAAGCGCTAGTCTGAAGTATCTAGACGTCCAAACTCGGTCTGCTACCAGAGCTGGGTCGGACAAACTATTCGCACTCCTGCTAAAGTTTAGAGAGATGATGGCAACTTTCTTGAGATAACTCGAGCCGCAGATGAACCACAGAGCTGTTTGGCACATCAATCGGGAGAAAATCATGAGACGCGCTAGTCTCAAGTATCCAGAAGTCCGAACTCGTCGCGCTTCCAGAGTTGGAACCAGAAAACTATTGGTACTCTATTATTTTTCAGAGATGACGATGCCTTTCTTGATCGCCGCCCTCCTTCTCCTCCTGCTGCTTCTCCTCTTCCTCCTCCTTCTCTTCCTCACCCTCCTCCATCTCCTTTCTTTTCACTCCTTCTTCTCCTCCAGTCCTCCTCCATGAAACCGCACCCTCGCGCGCGCGGAATGCGAGATTGCCGCGCCCGCATTGCACGAGGAAGCTCTACGAGTTCCCGGCGGTAACCAAGGTTGACGGTTTACCGCCGGCTCCCAGTGACTCGTAGAGCTTCCCTAAGAGCGTTAGCGGCGAAGCTAGAAGAGTAATTCCGGCGCGCTGGGGGGCTAATTGGCAAAAAAATCTCGACGGATTTTTTTGTCTTTTTTGGACATATTTAAATTCAATGTCTCGGAATTTGAACGGTCGTTAGAGCTCTAGTGACTCGTAGAGCTTCCCTAGAAGCGTTAGCGGCGAAGCTAGAAGAGTAATTCCGGCGCGCTGGGGGGCTAGTTGGCAAAAAAATATCGACGGAAGTTTGGTCTTGTTTGACATGTTTAAATTGAATTCCTCGAAATTTGAACGGTCGTTCGAGCTCTAGTATTTTTTCCCCCCATCTTCGATCTTATTCCCGCTCGCCATCTTAATCTCAGGTCGATCGGGTACATATTACTGTCAAGAGGCACTCAGGCGGGATCGGCTGTTCAGTGTCATCTTGACAGGTGCTGTCGGTTTTCTTAACTTAACACGAGCTGCAGATGAGCTACAAAGCTGGCAGGCACACCTAAAACATCTAGAATCATCAGGCGCGCTAGTTGGAAGTATCTAGATGTCTGACCTCGGTCTGCTACCAGAACTGGGTCCGCGAAACTATTCGTATTTTGATGTTTTTTTTGAGATGATGATGAGCTTCTTGATGTAATTCGAGCTGCAGATGAGCTACAGAGCTGTTTGGCACCGCAATCAGAAGACCATCATCAGACGCGCTAGTCCAAATAATCTAGATGTCTGACTTCGGTCTGCTACCAGAGCTGGGTCCGCGAAATTATTCGTACTCTGCTAACTGTTCTGAAGATGATGCTGAGTTTCTTGACTTAACCCGAGCTGCAGATGATCTACAAAACTGTTAGGCACAGCAATCGAACGGCTATCATCGAGCGCGCTAGTCTAACGTATCTAGATGCCTGAACTCGGTCTGCTACGGTTCGAACAACTATTGGGACTCTGCTAATTTTTTAGAGATGATGATGGTTTCTTGACTGAACTGGAGCTGGAGATGAGCTACAGAGCCGTTTGTCAGAGCAGTGGAAAGGAAATAATCAGACGCGCTAGGATAGAGTATCCAGACGCCCGAACTCGGTCTGCTACCAGAACTGGGTCCAAAAAGCTATTCGTACTCTGCTAGATTTTTAGAGAGATGATGGTAACTTTCTTCAGATAACTGTAAGTGCAGATGCGCTACAGAGCTGTTTGGTAGCAGTCGGAAGGAAATCATAAGACGCGCTAGTCTCAAGTATCCAGATGCCCGAACTCGTCACGCTTCCACAGTTGGAACCAGAAAACTATTGGTACTCTATTATTTTTCAGAGATGACGATGCCTTTGTTGATCCTTCCCATCCTTCTGCTCCTCCTGTTTCTCCTCCTCCTCCTCCTCCTCCTCCTCCTCCTCCTCCTCCTCTTCCTCCTCCTTCTATTCCTCATTCTTCTCCATCCCATTTCTCCTTACTCCTTCTTCTCCTCTAGTCCTGCTCCACGAAACCGCACCCTTGCGCGCGCGGAATGCGAGATTGCCGCGCCCGCATTGCACGAGGAAGCTCTACGAGTTCCCGGCGGTAACCAAGGTTGACGGTTTACCGCCGGCTCCCAGTTATAGGAACCCATAGGTCGCCGGAGTCGCCCAGGGAATCTGGCGACGTATGAATTTCCCATAATTCGGCTGGGAGAATTATGGGAAGCCCATCGGTCGCCGGAATCCCTTAGGGAATCTTGCGACCTAGGGGTTTCCCATAATTCGGCGGGGAGGATTATGGGAAACCCAAAAGTCGCCAGAAACCCCTAGGGAATTTGGCGACCTATGGGTTTCCCATAATTCGGATCGAGAATCCTGCTCGCCGCCGCAGCCGCAGCCGCAGCCGCAAGGGGCAGTCATCCATCTACGGTTTCCTCATAATTCCGAACCCTGGGAAACCCATAGGTCGCCAGAAACCCCTCGGGAATTTGGCAACCTGTGGGTTTCCCCTAGTGCGGAACTATGGGAAACCCACCGATTGACGACTGCCCTGTGCTCGCATGCGCTTCCCCCGCCCTCTGCACTGGTTCGTTGCCCCATGGGGAGTTGCACTGTTAGGCCGTAGTGTTCGAAAAACGGCTAAAAAATTCCATTTCTGGCCAAAAAAATTGAAAAAGTCACTAAAAAAGTTCATTTTTGGCAAAAAAAAAAATGCCAAAAGCGGCGACCACTACTCACCCTCACACTTTTCGCGGCCCCGTAGTGCGTTCCGCCGAAAGCACCAGCGTCAGCGCCCACGTGGCGGCGCCGCCCCACGACGGCACACCCCTCGCATGCTTCACGGCCCCATGAGGAGATCCCCCGAGGGCGATACCCGCAACGACGGCACCCGCAACTGCATATGGTTGGGCCCTTCGCCAGGGCAATCTGCAACTACTTTTGCATCGTTGTCTTTTTGGTGCGAAACAACACAACAAAAAAAAAAAAAAAAAAAAAAAAAAAAAACTTCACATATCCGCCTGCAGGAGGACACGCCGACCTCACTATGTGGCGATGCGGCCCTCGGACGGGTCCTTAAGTCCTATCGCGTGTTCCCTCCCGTCAGCTTCGACGGCAGGTCCGCGGCTCGGCGAGGCCAGGCATGCCGTCCGCAGGGGCCCCGGCCTCTGCGTTGCAAGCAGCGTGGGGAGGAGGAGGAGGAGGAGGAGGAGGAGGAGGAGGAGGAGGAGGTGGAGGTGGAGGTGGAGGAGGAGGAGGAGGTGGAGGAGGAGGAGGCGGAGGAGGAGGAGGAGAAGGAGGAAGAGGAGGAGGACGACGACGACGAGAACGAGGAGTAAGAGGAGGAAGGTGAGGAGGAGGAGGAGGAGGAGGAGGAGGAGGAGGAAGAGGAGACCTCCAGCGCCGCCCCTGGCGCGCTCCGCGCGCCAGGGAAGCCGGGGCCCAGCGCAGATCCAAGAGATCCGCGGGCGGGCCACCAGCAGTTTGTGTGTAAGCTGTTTTGTTTCCTCTAGCGTCGAGGCCCCCACTGTGCGCGGCATCTCTCCGTTGTGCCTCCCGTCCCATCGTCGCCGATGCTCGTTCGATGCTGCACCGTGGGCAACTTGGCCCGACGAGCCTCTAGGGGGCGAAGCGCGTAAACGGACACGGTCAGGGGGCGAAGCGCGTAGCCTGCTGTTCTTTCCGCTCGAGGCTAGATCTAAAACTCGGCGGGGAGCCTGAGGGGGAAGTGAGAAGGGGTGGGCCTTCTCAGAAGGCTCGGAAGGCCTTGAGCCTTCTGACGAGTTTTCTAAGCCTTCTCCGAAGACGTACAATTTCTTAGAAGGCCGGAGGGCTTCTGAGAAGCCCCGTCGCCTTCTGAGTGTGAGCAAGCTCGGCTGCCACCCCCGCAGGGGCGCGCCGCTGAGATTGTTCATTCTCATCAGGACGAGAATTCGGATTCGGTCTCGGGCGCCACTGGAGGAGCCAGAGGAGGAGGAGGAGGAAGAGGAGGAGGAGGAGGACCAGTGTAAACCCTAGAGGCGTCGACGATGTTGGAGTAGCATCCTCCCTCCAAGCTCCCTCTTCATAGGCCCCTACCCTCGTTGGAAGACAACGCTTGCAGACCCTGAAGCATGCCAAAAGTGTGTTCTTGAGACTCCAACGCCGCGGATCAACGGACGACCCTGACTCGTGCCAGAACGCCATTCCTGGGACGTCACCACCGCGAACCAACGTAACTGTTGCACCCTCATAATCCTGAGTCGTTCCAAAACACCATCTCTGGTACGCAGACCATGGGATCCCGTGAAATTCTTCTTTTCTCTAAGAAAAAAACTCAACCAATGTGCGCGGCGATAAGGCGAGAGACACGTTTCGAAAACGGCCCGCCTGCAATCCGTGAAGCTCATGCAAATGTTTAAAACGAATGTGCGCGGCGCTAAGGCGAGAGCCACATTTTGAAAACGGCCCGCCCTCCATCTGTGAAGCCCATGCCAATGATTTAAGCTTCGTGCTCATAAATGATGAGGACGTCTCATGCGAAACGCCCAGCCCGCCCTGAAAACTGGCTTCGGCATGCGGCAGGGAGAAGTTATCTATCAGGAGAAGGAATGGAGGAGGAGGAATACTGGAAGGGGTAGGAGGAGGAGGAGGACGACGAGGAGGAGGAGGAAGAGGAGGAGGAGAAGGAGGAGAAGGAGGAGGAGGTGTGGGGAGGAGTGGGGAGGAGAGAGGAAGAGGAGGAGGAGGAGGAGGGACGAGAGACTAGAGGACGAGGAGGACGAGGAGACGAGGAGGAGGAGGACGAGGACGAGGACGAAGAGGATGACGAGGAGGAGGAGGAGATAGGAGGAGGAGGAGGAGGAGGAGGAGTAGGAGGAGGAGAGGGGAAGAGGAGGAAGAGGAGGATAAGGAGGAAGAGGAGGAGGAGGAGGAGGAAGGAGGAGGAGGAGGAGGAGAAAGAGGAGAAAGAGGAGAAAGAGGAATTGAGAGGATGAGAGGATGAGGAGGAGGAGGAGGAAGAGGAGCAAGAGGAGGTGGAGGGGGAGAGGGAAAGTGAGGACCCGAACAAAAAGCGGGCCTGGGTGCCGTTTCTTCCATGGCGCGGCCGGGTGCCTCGCTTGGCAATTGCCCGCTGCGGGACCCCCCGCCCCTGTGTCGAGGGCCGGGTTGGGAGGTCCACGCCCCCGAGTCGGGCAACGCCTCTCATCCCCCTCCTCCCACTCGTCCAAATCTCCTCCTCCTCCTCCTCCTCCCTTCGTCCTCCTCTCTCTCCTCCTCCTCCTCCTCCTTCTCCTCCTCCTCCTCCTCCTCCTCCTCCTCCTTCTCCTTTCTCTCCTCTTCCTCCACCTGTTCCTCCTCCTCTCCGTAGTCATTTTGGCTCAAGCGGGTTCGGCTCAAGCCATTAGGGCTCAGACCTACGGTATCCCCGTCCAAAAGTGTTTCTTCATGGCTGCGGCGGCGAACCAGGCAGTGACAAACATGTGCGGAAAGGAATTCCAACCTCCAGCTCGGGTGGGCATCGACACGGGTTTGATGGGCGTTGATCCCGAGATCCACGCCATCAACGGGGCAGAGCTGGTGGATGAGAAGGAGGAGGCGGAGGACCAAGGCTCGGGTACGTCAGAGGAGGTGCAGGACCAAGGCCGACACCGCATGGCACGCGGCCGAGAGCGGCAGGACCGTACCCCTTCCCCGATGGCGAGGGTCCGCGTCGCCGGCACCTCCGACATGATGCTGGCAGAGTTCAGCGACATCGGCTGGGAAACCCGGGCCATGCGCCAGCGGCAGGCGCAGATTACCATCCGCGTCCGGAGGCTGGTGCGCGCCGAGCAGAACCGCACCGTCACCATGCTGGAGCGCCGCCTCTGCGGGCTGGTTTTCAAGAACCTCTGCAGACAGCCCTTCGCCAATCTGCCCCTCGTGGGCGGGGAGTCCGCGGGGCGTAAGCTCACACGCGAGTAGGCGCAATGCAGAGTCAAGCAGCGACGGCTGTAGCAGCGAGTTAGCGCACGTCCCGCAGGCATGGGCTCTGTACAGGTCTGGTTTTCGCTTTGCGCGCGGGTGGCGCACGTGAATCCTGCAGGCTGGTAAAATATGTTTGGTGCAATTGTCAGTTCATGTTTGAATGTCACCGTCAATTCAGCGGCAGGGGAGTTCAGGCTCTGAGCTCCGTGACTCTGGCTCCTCGGGCGGCCCTTTCGCCGACACGTCGTGGGCATAGTCTCCTGGCCTGGCCATGGGGGCAGGCCCTGTCGTGGTGTGGCCTGTGTAGCTCTATCTGTGCAGGCATCGGCGCCGCCGTCATTTAGTCGGCGGCATGTGGCCAGAGCTTGCGCTCACGCGCCAGTTGTCGGGGCCTAAGAGACGGGGGTCAGTGCAAACGGGGGTCAGCCAGAGCGCCAGATTCTGCAGGATTCTGCGAAGACCCCCTCTGGCTGACCCGGGTTAGCGAGCCGCTCGTGGCCGCGAGGCGGCCGCGCGTATTGGCTGACCCGGGTTTGCGAATACCTGCGTTGCAGTTTTTTTGTTTTTGCATTGCAGTTTTTGGTTTCCTGCTGACCCGGGTCTGGATCGACCCGGGTCAGAAGATCCCCGAAGATCCTAGAAGATTCCCGAAGCAGCGACGGCTGCAGCAGCGGGTTGGCGCACGTCCCGCAGACGTGGGCGCAGTACAGGTCTGGTTTTCGCTTTGCGCGTCGGTGGCGCACGTGAATCCTGCAGGCTGGTAAAATATACATATAACGGCGCACCGGGTCCAGGGGCCCGGGGCCGGGACCCCGACCACAAATGTGGGCTCCGGGGGGCCCGGAGGCTCGTCGGACCGCCGGACGCCGTCCAAGATCGTTCGCAGGCGGCTTCGGAACGCGCTCCGATGGCTCCAGATGCCTTCCAAGACGCCTGTCATGACACCAAGAAGGTCCCAGAAGCCTCCAAGACGCTCCGAGAGGCAGCCCAAGAGAGGCCCAAGAAGCCAAAATCGTGCCATTCCTATGGGAAAACGTATATTTTTCGCATGTTCGCCTCTTGGGCTTTCGCCGCGTCCAAGACGGCCCAAGAGGCGCCCAAGACCGCCCCAAGACGGCCCAAGAAGCTTCCAAGAGGGCCCCAGGACAGCCCAAGAGGGCCCCAAGACGGCCCAAGAGGCGCCCAAGATGGCCCAAGAGGGCCCCAACACGGGCCCAAGAGGGGGCCCAGAGGGGGACCACGAACCGCAAGCTCGAGCCTTCCGCCCCAAGAGGCCGCCAGGAGGCCCCAAGGAGGCCCCTCAAGAGGCCCCAGGAGACCCCCAAGAGGCCCAAAGGAGGCTCCGAGAAGCCCCAAATCGGCCCCCAAAATGCTTCGAACCTGCTTCCAGGAGGCCCCCAACAGGTTCAGAGGCTCCCGAGAAGCTACGTCAAACTCCCAGCGAGCGGCCGGACGAGGCCCCCCACAAAATCACAAGAGGGTTCCAGTATTTGTATCCTTCAGCGCTCTCTGGCCTTCTTCCCCCTGCCCCCTTCCCTGCGTGACCCGGGAGGCCCCAGGCGGCCCCCAAGAGTCCTCCAACATGGCTCCAAACGCTTCCAAAAGCACTCCCACGAGGGCCCCAGCAGGCCAAACATTTATTTTTTTCAATAGTTTTGGAGGGTTGGCCTTCTGATCTCGGCAGCTGTCCGACGCTCCTAGGCGGCCCAGGAGACCTCCGAGACCGCTCCCAAACAGCTCCAGAAGCGCCCAAGGCCGCCCCGAGGCGGTCCCGGAGGGCCCAAGGCTGGCCCAAGAAGCGCCCAGGGCCGCCCACGAGGGCCCCAAACAGGCCCGAAAGGTGCCCAAGAGACGGACCGCGCTCGGAAAACCCAGGGCTTCCGCTTCAAGAGAGCCCCAGGGGGCTTCAGATAGCTCCCAAGAGGCTTCAAACATGGCTCAGGACGCCTCCAGGAGCACCCCCCAAGAGGGTCCCAACAGGCCAAAATCGTTCGTTTTACTCAGGAATTGGAGGATCTTGGCCTTCTTGTCTGTTCGGCTTTCCGACGCTCCAATGGGGCCCAGCGCGCCTCCAGGTCCGTTCCCAAACAGCCCTGGGCGGGCCCGGGAAGCCCCAGGGAGCCCGCGAGACCGGCCCTGCGCAACCCAAGAGTTCCTCGGCAGGATAGTCAGGGAGGGGGGGAGAGCGGGGGGGCCTCTGGCGCCGCGTGCTCCAGGAACGCTCCTCCGAAACATGGCGTGCGAACGATGAGGATCGGGAATCCCAATAAGCAAAAATCGTAGATTTCCTTTGGGGAAACTGATATTTTTGGCGTGTTTGCCTTTTGGGCGTCCACTGCGCCAGGGGGCGCCAGGTGCGACAGGTGCGACAAGTGCGCCCGCAGGGGACAGGGAGGCCTCAAAGTGGTCCGCGTAGGACGTACCTCTGCTGGGCCTCCCAGGAACTTACGAAAGTGGCGACAGTTGCCAGATCGCAGCCCCGCAGGGGACAGGGAGGCCTCAAAGTGGTCCGCGTAGGACGTACCTCCGCTGGGCCTCCCAGGAACCCACGAAAGTGGCGACAGTTGCGCAGATCGCAGCCCCGGAGGGGGCAGGGAGGCCTCAAAGTGGTCCGCGTAGGACGTACCTCCGCTGGGCCTCCCAGGAGCCCACGAAAGTGGCGACAGTTGCGCAGATCGCAGCCCAGCAGGGCACCGCGAACACAGGAGAGAAGAAGGAGGAGAGGGCGGGAGGTGGATACCACAGTGCTCTATTCAAAACGAGTACCCAACACAAGGAGGGTTGGGAAAAAAGGGAATTCCCAGAATTCCAGTTTTTGTGTTTTTTTTGTTTTTGTTCTCTCTCTCTCTCTCTCTCTTTTTGTTTTTGTTTTTGTTTTGTTTTTTCTCCAATATATATATATATATATATATATATAGTGGGACTCTGACTCGGAGATCCCGCACATCCCCTGACATTTGGCCAGTACCGCGCCTCCCGGCTTCCCGGGGGACCCCCAAGACGCCCAAAGACAGCCCAAGACGACCCTAAGGAGCCCCCAGAGCGTAAAGAACGGCCCAACACGCTCCCGCGCAGCCCGAGACACGGCTCTCCAGGCCTACAGGAGGCCTCCAGAACCCCCAGGGGGTCCGGAAGAACCAACACCCCTGAGGAGCCGGGCTAACAAAACCCACGAGGCACAAACAAAACACAGCGCCGAACGACGCCGAGGAACTGGAAAAAATGGACATCCCACAATTCCTTTTTCTTGTTTTTCAAGTTTGGCCCCCGGTCTACTCTCGCACAACACACCACAATTCAGACCCCGTCACCTCCCCAAAAAAACCCAGGAAGCATTTGAGGGCCCCAGATCGTTGAATACCGAAAGGAAATGAATTAATGATTTCTGCGTTTCCGCATTTCCCTTCTATACGATTCCGAGGCTTGCGCAGGGCCTCCAAGGGAGTCCCTGGACGCAGGAAGCGACCAAAATGAGATTACATGAGTTGGCCGATCAAGCCTAGCTAGATCTTGAGCGCGCGCGATGTTTTTTTTTGTTTTTTTTTGTTGTTGTTGTTTTTTTTTCTCTCTCTCTCTCTCTCTCTCTCTGTCTCTCTCTCTTTCTCTCTCTCTCTCTCTCTCTCTCTCTCTCTCTCTTTCTATATATATATATACATAATGGATAGGGGGTCCCGGGCACCCCAAAGTGCACTGATCTATCTTCTGGCCGTTTCGGGCTCGGCGGGGGGCGCCAAACAACGTCAAAGGGGGCAAGAGGGCGCCAAGATGGCCCAAGAACGCTTTAAGAGAGCCCAAGACCGCACAAGAGCGTTTCAGAATTGGTCCAACATGGCTTAAAGACAGCCCGAGAGTGCTTCAAGACGGCCAAGATGCTCTCAAAAGGACTCCCACGAGGCACTCAGGAGGCGAACAAAGTGTTATTTTCGATGGTTTTTGAAGGTTTTTCGTGTTCTCGCTGTTTCGTGTTTCCGACTGTCCAAGACAGCCCACGAGGGCCCAGAAATCAGCTCAACGCGGCCCAAGAGACACCCAAAAAGGGCGCCACGACGGCGCAAGAGAGCCCCAAGACGGCCCAAGCGCGCCCCCCAAGACGGCCCACGAGGCGCTCAAGATCGCCCAAGAGGGCCCCAAGACGGCCCCAAGAGGGGCTCAAGAGGGGGAACACGAACCGACAATTCGAGCCTTCCGCCCCAAGAGGCCTCCAGGAGGCCCCAAGAGGCCCCCAACAGAGCCCAAGAGGCCCCCCAGAGGCCCCCTAGGTGCCCCACGAGGCCCCAGAGGCCGCAACAGAGGCCCCAAGAGCACCCCAAACGGCCTCCAAAACATACCGGTGCATCGCAAAGGACCGCCTAGCCTATCGTGGCATCGCAGCGATGCATGACATGGCATGGCACGGCACAGCACGACACAGCTAACCGTGTCAATGCATATCACAGTATGGTTCAGCATACCATAGTATTGCATTCCATAGCAGTGTTTAGCTGAGCCTAACACTGCAAGTCACGACGTAACATTGCCCAGCATGGCATGGCATCTCATGACGCACCGTGGCGTACTATGGCATTCCAATGCGCATACATTACTCGAACAGCACCGTACTGCTCTGCGCAAGAGTAAACCGTAACCATACAAATATCACACCCCCGTTGTTGCTCTTACTGTCGTCCTGTTTAATTTAGCCTAGCAGTTCATAACATGGCATAGCATTGCATTGCATTGAATAGCACGGTATGCCGTGTCTGTGCATACCGTGTAACGCGGTAGCATCGTTCTTCATAGGAAACATCGCATGATATGGCTCAGCGTATCATCCAACATATTACCATAGCATTTCACAGCACAGCAGGGCATGGCATGCAATGCGCACTGTACGGTATATCATGTTATTGCATTGCATACTGCATAGTGGCATTGCGCTTTATAGCGTAGCATGGCATATCATGGCGTTCCATAGCATAGTGCAACATGGCGCTGTAGCGCTGCATTTTTCCTGGCCCATAGCTTGGCGACAGATCACCGGTCGACCGGTCGATGAGAGCGGAGGAGGAGGAATAAGGAAGGGGCAGAAGGAAACATATGATGTTGACCAGCATTTGCATCTAAGGGGTAAATCGACCAGCAGGTCCCAGGCCACGCCAGTGGGGATAGGGATCGGTTAAACGATGCCCAGTTTGCCTCCTCCTGCTGCTCCTCGAGCCGACGGTCGGGGGGCGCGTTGTCGGCGCGCGCCCCGCGGGCTCGGAGGAGCAATGCTTTGTGGTGCAGAGTGCCGCGAGTGTCGATCCTAGCCGCAGGGGAGAATATGGCGTTTTTTCTGCATATTTGCACGTGCGGGTTCCTTGACACGAGTTTCATTGATTGCCCCAAGTGCTCCGCAGCCACGCTCATAGCATAGTGCAACATGGCGCTGTAGCGCTGCATTTTTCCTGGCCCATAGCTTGGCGACAGATCACCGGTCGACCGGTCGATGAGAGCGGAGGAGGAGAAATAAGGAAGGGGCAGAAGGAAACATATGATGTTGACCTGCATTTGCATCTAAGGGGTAAATCGGCCAGCAGGGCCCAGGCCACTCCAGTGGGGATAGGGATCGATTAAACGATGCTCAGTTTGCCTCCTCCTGGTGCTCCTCGAGCCGACGGTCGGGGAGCGCGTTGTCGGCGCGCGCCCCGCGGGCTCGGAGGAGCAATGCTTTGTGGTGCAGAGTGCCGCGAGGGTCGCTCCTAGCCGCAGGGGAAAAATAAGTGCTCCGCAGCCACGCTCATAGCATAATGCACAATGGCGCTGTAGCGCTGTATTCTTCCTGGCCCATAGCTTGGCGACAGATCGCCGGTCGACCAGTTAAGCGCGCGCGAAGAGCATTCGTGGTTCTAGGGTCCCGGGGCCCCCAAAGTGCACTGATGTGTTTTCCGGCCGTTTCGGGCCCAGCGAAGGGCGCCAAAAAACATCAAAGGGGGCCGAGAGACGTTCAAGAGGGCGCCAAGATGGCCCAAGAGCGCTC